CCGATGAGGACAACGAGCATGCAGATGAGCTTCCCTGAGACAGTTTCTGACAGTTTGTGCAGAAATTCTTTGGTTATGCAAACCGATTGTTGCAGCAGCTGTCCGGGTGGCTGGTCTCAGACGATCTTGGAGGTGAAGATGCTGGATGTGGAGGTCCTGAGCTGGTGTGGTTACACGTGGTCTGCGGTTGTGAGGTTGGTTGGATGTACTCAGGGCCTGCGCTACCTGTAAGTCAACCTAGGTAGCCGCCTAGGGCGCAATTTAGCAGGGGGCGCCGGAGCCCTGCGCCAGGAATCACCGGTGCAGCTCCTCATGCTGCGCCGCCTGAGCGCTATAGCAAACCTCAGGCGGCGCAGCACTGCTGTATGGAGGGCGGCTGGAGAGAGACGTGACCGCCGCCAGATTTGAATAACCAGCAGGAGCGAAGCGCACAGCACTCCCTCCTGCCAGTCACTCAATGTAGCGTGGCCGGGCTGCTCGGACTGCTTCCCTTTAGTCCGCCGGTGGCCCAGGTACAGGAAACCTGTGAGATGGATGGATTATCTCGGCAAAGGAGAAGTGCTCACTAACACAGATTTAGACAGATTTGTGAACAATATTTGAGAGAAATAGACCTTTTGTGTACATAGAGAAAGTCTTAGATGTTTGAGTTTAGCTCATGAAAAATGGTGGCAAAAACAAACGTGTTGCGTTTATAATTTTCTACAGTGTAATTGAACACATTATTAATTATGTAGAGAAAGAAAGGGAAAACATTTATAGTGTGACTTGTATTTAGTATTAGATCTTTGCTATTTATCCATTACGAGATAGAAATGAAAAGCATATGCAAGAGAGTTTATCCACACATGGGTGAGCTTCCCCCCAGAGCCCATTGCGCTAAGGCCATTTTAAAAGTATGCTAAGGTTATATAAGGATTACGCAGGGTGTGAGGCATTAAGCTTAGTACTAAAAATGGGACACAAAATAATTATTACCCGCCGTCAAATTCTAACATCACTTTAAGTGGCACTATTAACAAGTACTTAAGACAGTTGGTGAGCAGTTATTCATTAAATGTCATTAATTTAGTCATTGCACATTTAAAGTAAAGCAAAAAAGGCGTAGGAAAGATATGTATTTTCACAGAGTGGAAGTTTAGTTATAAGGGTCGCAAATAAGAACTTTTTCCAATCTGATGCTTGCTGGTCTATCATTTGTGCTCCCCTCCGAACCTTGACTTAACCCCCCACTTCCTAAGTATGTACAACCTGCAGACACTGGCTAGCAAGCTGCTTATCAGGAGCAAAAAAGAGCACTTTCTACTTCCTAAGCTCAGTGTGAGAATTTCTTCTAGGCAACAGAAAAAATAAAAAAAAATAAAGTTTTGCTGTGATTGGGGATTAACGGTCTGGCCTTGGTTGGATTCTAAAGTGAAGCATTTCTGTCTATCGGAAGGTTGGTGTTTACAAGCGCTGTGAGAGATAATTATGGCAGAATGTCTCATCCTGCAGTGCCTGCAGTGGCTATTCTACGTAGGTTAACCCCCGACAAAACAAAATAAGAAAAGGATGGTTCTTTCTTTTAAGGTTCTATTAGATTACATCATTCCTTTAATACTGCATAAGTTTCTGAATACCGTAATAGACCACCTTTTCCAACATTTAAGCGTGTGGACGGTGGGAGCGCGGTATTACCTACAATCAAGTAAAAATCTTCTCGCAAATCTCAAACAGAAAACAATATCTAGCAGGGTTATTCACCAAAGTGTGAATTGTGAATTTAAAATTTTAGGGGAAAATAACTGTTGGGAAAATGTTCCAAGCCAGCTATGTTTTCTGTCTAAAATCTAACATTCCTTTTGAAATTTTCACACTCAAGCAAATAATTCTGATAATGGTAACTTATACAAACATGAAATATATGAAGCGTTTAAGAAAAAAAAATATTTTCGGGAATTAGGGAAGTATGCTATAGTTTGACATTGTAACAACCATTGAAATAAAATGATTCAACCCCTATTGAAAAACAGGTTATTGTCATAATTTACAGACTTTCAGCTGTTTGCAGTGAAAAAAATCAAACAAAAGCAATTGAAGTAGCTCAACACAATGAATGCTTCAAGTGGTTTTCCTAAATTCAACCGAAAATGTAACTTATGACTTCTTCAGTCTCAAAATTATTCAACCCTTGAATAGAATCCCTCACAACAGCTGTCTTAAGCACACCTGATGCAACTTATCAAGCTTCATTAGTCGCACCAGATGTGCTTGAGCTGGAACACTTGAAATACCTGAATTGGCTACGGGTTTGTTGAGTGTCACATTTGACTGCATGTTAGAAATATGGTTAAGTCAAAAGAAGGGTACACAAAGTTAAGAGAAGAGATCATCACCCTTCACAAACAATGAACAGGATACAAAAAGACAGAGCAGGTGGGGAGTGGGCACAAAGAGGAGGCTCAGGAAACCTCTTGAGGGCACAAATTAGTCCCCAGAGTTAAAGAACATAAGCAGAGACCCACACAGACAAAATGTAATACCCATCGCGCACCCCCAAAGGGGAAGACCATGGACCTCGAGAAACTCTAGGTTTGTGGCAAACAGGTACCGGCTCTCACACAACCCAGAGGATGAAGGGGTGCCCCACCTTCACACCGCTGCAGTGCTCCCCAATGTGGACCGAGCACAGAAGTAAGCAGAGACCCCCGTAGGGGAATCGGATGAATGCCGGGAGGAGTACCTAGAGGGGCAGTATTGGCTTCCCGCACCCTCAGCCCAAGCCTGCGTACACAGGACTCTGATACCAAGCTATATTGACGACGGCATCGGATCAGATGGAATACCCAAGCAATCTGTCTAGAGACTTAACATACATTGAATGATCATTACCTTACGCTTCCCGCATGCTACCATTATTGCATTGCTTCACCTTTAGTCACAGTCATGTCAACCCACACACGCTGATCTCAGCACAAGCACACCCAACATGTCTGTTTCTAGAGTCATCCCATGTTAA